GTTTGACCAGAATCACATAATAAGATGTTAGGGAGGTGACAAAATGTGTTATGGTCAGATTTGTTGTTTTGAAGGAGTATTTTCAAGTGCAAAACTGAGGCAGAGAAAAGGAGAGGTTTAGTAAGGAAATTTCACAGTTTGTGGCCTTGGCAGCTAAAGCTTGAGGGCACCAAATGTGAAACAGTTAAAATCAAGAATTTTCAGGAGGTTGGAATTGGAGATAATGCAGATATCTGGAAGGACATTTTTTTTAAAAAATGTCATTCTTGGGGTGGGGGTGGCCATTACTGGCTGGTTTAGCATTTACTGACCAGCCCTAATTGCTCTTGAGAGGGCTGGAGGCTGGAGGCTGGAGGACATTACAGAGCGAGATAGAGAGGAGACGATCAAGAGATTTGAACAAAAGGATGAAAAGTTTAAAATTTAGCTGCGTGAGCATGGGCCAGTTGGTGAACAAACCTTGTTGTGAACACTCATGCGGGCAGCAGAGTTTTGGATGGCCTCAGGATTACATCACCTGATGAGTAACCTATAACTCCTTCCCTTACAGCATTGTGAGAGCTGATGTGGGAAGATAAAGCTGTTAAGACAGCAGCACATGGTTGGGAGAATGAGCAATGGTAAAAATCTCATTTAGATACAGTCAATGGAAGGAAGGAAAAACCACTAAACAGAGCTCAAGGGCACCCAAAAATAGAGGCAGAGAAGTAAGACTAGTGCAGAGAGGGGAATGTGAGAGGATGGTGAGGAATGTGTAAGGATAGTTAAGTCCAGAGGTAACAAAGGAATGGACGAGAGTTTCAGCAGCAAATGAGCAGAGACTCGGAGGAGTCGGGTAATGTTACTGTGGTGGAAGTAGGCAGTCTCGATGGTAGGGATATGTGGTTGAAAACTCATCTCTGGATGAAACATTTCACCATGGTTATGACTTGTTTAGTTCAGACTCCAGCAGTTGCCACAGAGGGTTTAGAATCAGTTGTGAGGCAGTAGAGTTTGTGTTGGGGAATGAAGATAAAGGCCTCGGTTTTGCCAGTTAGTTAATGGGAGGAAATTTCTGCTCCACCAGGACTGGATGTCAGCAATGTTTGGATGGTGTGTGACCTGGAGGGAACTTGGAGGTGTTGGTGTTCACATCCACCTGTTACCCTGCCCCTTCTCAGTGGTGGAGGCTGAGTGTTTAAAAGATTCTGAGAGTTCTGGTCAAGTTGTAGGTGTCCAAAATCCCTCTCCTTCATTCCCTATCTCCACACAGAAGCCAACGTCTTGTGAGAGATTGTCTCTGTCTCTCTTGTTTTTTGTTTGATGTCCATTTCACAGGATATTAGAAGGAGAAGATTTTCAAGCGCACCATCACACCAGGATCTGATGGAGTCGCCCATTTTATCACAAATGGAACATGATCAGATTTTAAACCTGGAAGGAAAAGGCTCCATTCACACTGGAGAGAAACTGTATACGTGTTGTGTGTGTGTGGACAAGGCTTCAGCGAATCATCAGACCTCACAAACCACAAATGCAGTCACACTGGGGTGAAACTGTGGAAATGTGGGGATTGTGGGGAGGAATTCATTTCCGCATCTGGGCTGGAAACTCAAGACGCAGTCACCCCAGTAACAGGCCACTTACCTGCTCAGTGTGTAGGGAGGGATTCACTCAGTCACCTAGCCTGCTGGAACGCCAGCTCATTCACACTGACAAGAGACCATTTCAAAGCCCAGACTGTGGAAAATGCTTCAGAACATCCCGGAACCTGATGTCCCGTCAACGAGCTCGCATTAATGAGAGACCTTTTAAATGCCAAGACTGTGGAAAATGTTATAAAACATCTGGGAACTTGGTGTCCCATCAACACGTTCACACTAAAGAGAGACCCTTTAAATGCTGAGACTGGAAAATACTATAAAACATCTGGGGACCTGATGGCCCATCAAAGTGCTCACACGGAGGAGAGATCGTTTAAATGCCCAAACTGAGGGATGTGCTTGAAAAGTCCCAGGGACCTGATGTCGCATCAACTTGCTCACATTAATGAGAGACCTTTTAAATGCTCAGCCTGCAGGAAATACTACAAAACCCCCTGGACCTGATATCCCACCAACACGTTCACTCTGAGAAGAGACCATTCAGGTGCTCTCACTCTGGGACTGGGTACAGGTGATCATTTGACCTCACAGAGCACCAGCAAGTTCATACTGGGAAGAGACCATTCAGCTGCTCCGAGTGTGGGAGGGGATTCAGTCGGTCGTCCAACTTGCTGAGACACCAGCAAGTTCACACTGCGGAGAGATCTTTTAAATGCCCAGACTGCGGGAAGTGCTACAGAAGCTCCTGGGAACTGAATTGTCATCAACATGTTCACACTGAGGAGAGACCTTAAAAATGCTTAGACTATAGGAATCCCTGTGCAAGTTCTTGGGTACGGTTTTATCATCGTGTTCACATTGAGGAGAGATCTTTCAAATGTCTAGTCTGTGGGAAGTGCTATTGAAGTTCTATCGAATTGATGTCCCATCAACATTCTCACATGATGAGGCACCTTTTCGGATGCTTTCATTGTGGGACTGGGTTCAGGCGATCATCTCAACTCTCAGTAAACCAGTGAGTTCACACTGGGTGGAAATCATTTACCTGCTGCATGTGAGGAAAAAACAGTTGGGTCACTCATCGGCCCTGCTGAGACAGCAGAGAGTCACCCTGGGGGACAGACCGTTCACCTGCTCTGTGTGGGGGAAGGAATTCACTCACTTATCAATCCTGCTGAGACAACATAGAGTTCACAGATCTCAACGGTAATTGGACTTTGCAGTTCATCACATTCAGGACTGAAAGCAAAGTTTTAATATTCTGGATAAAAGGCAAATAAATTAGCTTTGTATTAAACACAGTGTGGCAGGTCACTGTAAGGATGTGATCATGGAGTACTTGGAAGAGTCAGCATGGCTTCACCAAGGGGGCTTCATGCCTGACAAATCTGATGGGATTCTTTGAGGAGGTACTGAACAACTTGGACGAAGGGGAGCCAGTGGATGTAGTCTGTTGGATCTTCAGAAGGCATTGACTAGGTGCCGTACAGGAAGCTGCTAAATAAGGTAAGGGTCCATGGTGTTAGGGACAAAGTACTGGCATGGATTGAGGATTGGCT